CAGCTGACTTAGACTTTTGCAATTTCATGGAAAGGAGACTGAGTCACATGCATATCAAGGGTTCCGATTAGAATTTGTAGATACATTTTAATGAGTTAATTACTTAATATGTTGTTATTGTTATTACTTAAATAGCCATCCAAGTTAGTAACTAGAGGCGCTTAAAACAGTTGTTCTGATCAATTTAAGTAGATTACCCTTTGTTTTGTTAATTCCATAATTTTATAACTTCATATCCATCACTATTTATACATAGCTTTATCCCATTTTCTTCTTGCTTAGATCGATCTCTTTTCTTTTCCTTTCCTTTCTAACCAAAATCAACATCTAAACCAACTACTTGAATTTCATTAAGATTTCTTAAAACAGTAAAAAATCAGAAATATTTGTTTATGATATGGTTGAGTACAGACATTATCCATTCATCCGCAGGAACCTTGTTAATCCAATTCAGTACACAAAATCGTCCCAACCGATCTTTTAGCTTAGAAAAGTCGTATGATATTATTTTTATCCTCTTAATCTGGACCTTTACCATTTACTATTTAAAAGTAAAAAGAGAAAAAGAAAATTATATTTTTGTATATTAGCCTTTCAATATCTAGCAATTAATTTTTCCCTAGCATATGGAAATAGTCAAAATTAACCCAGAGAAATTTGAAATAGCTAAATATACCTTTTCCTTTTTTTCTTTCAAGGTCATTATCCATGGACACTACTTAAGTTACTATCATCAAGTTTTCTACTACTACTTCCTTCCAATCGGTATTTACACTTGACAAACAAAGACACAAATGTTGTGCTTTTAAAATACAACAGCAAGGCAATAAAGGCCTACAGAAGAAGAATAAAAGCAAGCTAGTAAACAATCCGGTATGGCTAGCTGTAGACGCTTTCATTACATTTAATTTAATGGCAGTCGTAGCATATATTGCCACATATATAAATACTGCTATATATATATACAGAAGACACACCATATAAAACTAAATTAATGAATTATAAATAAATTTGCTGGCCAATAAATGCATGTTGTTATGTGATGGTCTACCAAACTGGGCGAGTCCCGAATTTAACTATTGAAGAAATTTTTAATATATATTTATACTAGCGGTATTTTCCGCGAAGAAATCAGTAAAATTATTATATAAACTTGTTTTTTATAAATTTAGTTAATATAAAAATAAAGTTTTCGTGTATATGTATAGAAAATTATTTTTATAAATTAATTGATTAAACAAAAAAGATAAATCTTTTGCTCAATTAGGTCAGTAACCTATTCATATCATTAATTTTACATAAATATATATAGTGTACAATGTGAATAAAATCAGTCAATTTTGAGATATTTCACTTAGAGCGACGCCAAATTTTGTTTTCATATTTGCTTATCCTAGGTTTGATTTCTCTAAAGCACTTGTGTGTGTAATTTGCTCTAGAATATGATTCTGTGAAGATTTAGTTTCAAATTGACTATCCTACGTTTGATCACTCGAAAAACACTTAGTGATGTTTTCATATGCTTTTTAATTACTTCAAAATCAGCGAAACATTTTTATACTAAATCTATTTCTTAATATTTTAAACAAAATAACCATAAAGTGAGAGGGAAAATAAAAAGGAAAGACAAGTTGTTTGACCATAAAATTAGAATAAAGCAAATTAAACACCTTAAAATGTCTTCCACATGCGGAAACTATATACCAACACTTAGACATATATACAACTATGGAGTATATGGTTAAATGCTTACATTAGAATCAACTATGTTCCAACTTAATCCTAATTGAAAGAAGAGTTCAAAGAAGTTTAAGCTTCAAGTTGTAGTACTCATAATGCAGTCCCAGATAGTAAATTTGGAGACTTTCATAAATTGGAAACAGGCAATCCATGTCAAATTGAAATACACAAAAAACTTGAGAGACATAGTTTATAGGGAGACTATATATATTCTAAGTTTGTGAAGCATATACGGTCAAACCTCTCTCTAACAGCCTCGTTTGTTCCGAATATTTTTGGATGTTATAGCGAAATGTTGTTATAGAGAACATATATTATAATATAACATAAAAATTGGTTGCGGAAAAACTTGGCTGTGCATGTGATATTTTTTTTAAAAACAAATTCTGGTTATGAAGTGTGTGATATCTGTCCTCGGCCATATCAGAATGATACTAAGAAATATTGATGAAAGTCTTATTTTCGCGTTTAAAACACTTGCAAGAGGATACATTTATACTATCTGCCACCAGATTGATTATCAATTGCCTTAGCAATTTGGAATATGTTGTAGCATCTAGATAAGAACTGAAATCTTTAGCTGGTAATTAAAGAGGCCAGGGAAACCTATTTTGAAAAGGAGAGAAAGAAACGGGACAACTTTCACAAGAATCAAAACCAAGCTTTTCAATAACATAATATGCAGAAGCATTAAATCCTTAATCACACACCAAACAAAAGAGTATTTATTCTTAGAACTTTGGAGAACATATCCTAAATCACACACCAACCAAGAGTATTTTAAATTAAGAAATACAAGGTGAAGATTTAATAAAAACAAAACACTTCCATTAACATAATCTAGATCTTAAATGTATATATATCTCTTCCAATGTATTCCCAGAGTTGATTGCAAATGCAATTAGTATATTTCATGCAATACAATAACTAACGCTTAGCAGGAAAAAAAACAAAATGCATGACTTAACTAAATCGTGACATAACTTCCTTGTAAACTCATATATCGTGCAACTTTTGAATTCAAACAACCTAGTTTCTCAAGGAAATTGAGTTACAGTCATACCCGACAACACATGCACTATGAATATGAATGAAGAATATATTGCAAAACAATCATAAGTAACCATTAAAATATATCCGAAGTAATCAGGAAACAAAAGTAAGTCATGACATCTTCTTGGCTTGTTCCCCCAATCACAATCTATATATCTATATAATCATGATATCTATATATCGAACCAATCCAAACCGATATAGTTGGTTTGATTTGATTTTGATAAAAACCAAACCAACCCGATCCATGTACACCCTAAACGAGTTATTGCACACCCCCTTTAAGAAAGACATTTAATTTAATCACATGAGTATTTATTTAAACTATCTTGTTATCACCGCACACATTTATTTAAAATCTTGAATCCCTTCTTCCTTCTCCCTTGTCACTTCTGGTTAGAGGAGAGGGGGGCAGAGGACATAGTAGAGTAGCAAGATTTGACATGTCAACGCTAATTAGGTCAAGTAATTCACATCCAAAATGAGATTCTAGACTTATATCCAACTCCCAACCACTTAACGCGATCGTCATTTTTCTTTATATCCCTTTCTGTACAGCACAAAAATACGATCACTTTCAATTATAAAGCTAATAGGCAATGGGTAGTCATATTTATTGCCCCTCCCCCACGGGGTTCTTTTGTCATATTTGGTATCTTAATCAAGTCAACCCTTTCCGCGAGTTTACATAAATTTTCAACTACTAAAAGCTTTTATGGAGTTTCACACTTTGACTTGGTGTAAAAACGACATCACAAGAGAAAAAAAAAAGGGTGAAAAAATGATTAGCCTGCCATGCTTTCTTTGCTACATCATCGATATAACTTTCACAATACATGTTTTCGATATGAAATAAACAAATAAATTGAGAAGTAGATGAAATAATCCCTAAACAGAAAAATCTTCTCAACTGAAAGGTTTGAATAGGACGAAGAGTTAAAGTCAGCTTCCTCCTCAAAGCCCCAAACTTTTCAACTTTCCTAATAATACAGTTTGGAGCATTGATTAACTTGATTGGTATATGAAATAAAATGGAAAGGGACCTAAACCAAACTGGACTTCAAAGAACTGCTGTGTCATTACTCTAGTAGTTGCTCACTTAAGACACCTCAATTTGACTTCAAAGTGTGAGCGGCTGGCTACACACGTTCACACATACAATTACAACGACTACTATAGCACCTCAAAAAACTAGAAAAGGAGAGACAATGAAACAAACACAAACTCCTCAATGACTCCCCCCACAAAAATATCACTTGCTTGTGATTAGTAGCCATTCCCCCAAAAAGGGAGAGGGTGGATACAACTTAGCTCGCGCGAAGCACGAGGAGTAATATAGTATTACCGTTCAGTTCACATGACAAACCAAACATCATTAAGTTCCAAATTCTGCAAAGCGCTATATCTCCATTACATCATATGATAATATCAATCTGAAGCCATAGCACAGGATTTTCAATTAACAAATTACACATGCAAGCTCAGATCTACAGAGCTCCCATGGAGTCTACTGGAAGGTTCTGAGGGAGGAGAAGAAAGGGAACAGGAGATAGGGATAGAGAGAGCAGAAAGATCCATGTGTTTTCTGTAAAAATGAGAACCTTCAACTGATTTCATTAACTGTACAAGTATATATACATGTTGACTATTTGACCAAGCTAATTTCTAACTAAGCTAGCTAACCGCTAACTAAGTATACAATCCAATAATGAATGTATGAATAATAACTATACTCAATATCAATTGGTCATAGAAATGAAAGTCAACAACTTTTTTCCTACAGATAAACACTTTGGATAGAGCAAGTAGACCTTATGCCCGCCAAAAAATAAAATAAAGGAGAATTACGAACTTGATATCCATCCCTCTACCTATTATATTCATTCTTATGTTTTATTTCCACAAGTATTGAAGGAAAGACCAGCTTATACATAGGCATGACCAATGCATGGGGAAAGGTTAGCTCAATTAAGGGGTACTCATTTCTTTCTATCACCAAGTATTCGGATCTCTTTGAAGGTAAAACGTTTGTCACTAAACATTTCATTTTAGACATAAGAAAACAATGTATAAAACATAGTTAACCACGTCAGACACGAGAACCACTTACTGGATCTGTCCCTCTTATGATACGCAGATAACAAACAATACCCAAACAAAGGTGGTGCAATCAGAGAGAGCAGGGATCGGGGTCACAGAAATAAAGGTAACTCGAAAATAATGAAAATTGAGATAAGGCCAATCAAAATCCACATGAAATGGGCTAAAATAGGAGAGAGTGGCCTCCTACTAGTTCTGCTATGCTCAGCCGTACAAGGTAAATCACAAGTGTTACGCAGACTTGAAACTATAAGCATCTTTCCTATTTGGAAGTGAAACTAAAATCTTCCATTTAAAGATTCTCTGTGGAAACAACTATATGGCCCTTCCAAAAATGTACTCCAAGAAAATCACCGAAGTACTATAGATTTTTCTTTTCTCTAACTATTTGACTAGAAAGCTTCAGAAACTCCCATTGTTTCATGTTTGCGTACATAAAAATAAAAAAGAACTGAGAGAAACAGAGTAGCATCATTACTGCCTCAAAGAGGTAAGGATACCTTCTTGGTGGAGTTACCATCAAGTAAACAATATGCAGAAGAAGAGAGCTGGTGATGAGAAAATATTTTAAAGTTGTAAAATGAGAGCGGGTCTCCCTTATGTCTTTTCTTTGAACAGGTGCGTTGTACAGGAGGACAAAGAGACCATATAAAGCAATATATGGAAGAATCAGTTCATCACGCCTTAGAAGAGGGAACAGAGAGAGCAAGGCAAAATATGTTAGCCAGCGAAAAATAAGAGGCTCATCTATCGCCAAGAAGCTTGCTGGAAGAAGAGGCAGCAGAATAGATTTCTCATGAACTGTATATCAACCAAAAAAGCATCAATTAGTGTTATACTGAGAGAAGCCAATCACATATAAGTAGAAACACTAACAGATATGGGAAACAAACTAATTTTTTGTACCTTGAAATGAGAAGAAGTAGAATGATAAAGCACTGCTGAGCAGTCCAAACAGAAAGTTTTTTCTGCTTGGCGCCAATATTAACAGCATCATTGAGGGTAGGCACGTGGAAACAGTTGAAACAAGACTAAGAATCCTTAGTGCTTGGGTACTGAACAATCTCTTCCACTTCACAATGACTGAAGTGGTACACCAGAAGTTAGCCACATAATCCTCGTATATGCCCCTCTCAAAAGGAGCTAGGCGGGAAAGAACCTGCATCAAGCATCAAAAGAAACTGATTAATAATTCCGCAGATCGTGATGATCTTTGCCAAACAAGATGGACAAGGACTCAATCCTCAATCAAGTCGGCAATTTCTAATCAAGAAAGAAGACATAAATATAATCAGGTTACAACTTTCGTGCCATTATGCTACGAGGGTGTATTAGCACGGTTAACAATCTCCCAAACAACTTCTTTAAACTAAAAGTATAGCTCAAAATTCCTGAAATTTAATTATTTAATGGTCATTGTATAAAGGAATAATTTTACATAAATACAACTCACACATCTGACTTGCAACATAATAGCCCAGTTATAAATTTACAAATCTGTAGCCCAAAAATAGTCGGCTAATATTTGTAAAAAGAGTATCTTTTAGATTTTTTATTCGGCAACGGAGTTTAATCAGGATAATTATCTTATTTAGATGAAGTCATGAGATTTTCTAATTCTTCTGTCGTATAATTTCTCCCCCAATTTGTCTTTACTGCTGCAAGTTGTCCCCCAATTTTTCGTTGATTCTACTTATATTGTAAAATTTAGAAACAATTGCTGCAAGTTCGTGATTTGGCTAAGAATCAACAAGAAAAGTAGATTTATACATGAATTATTCCAAAAAAAGGAAGAAAACATGAAAAAAAATTAATTTGATTATACATATGCGGTACATGTATAATGATGTATAACTATGTATAAACTTGTATATGGAATGTATAATAATGTATATCAAAAGAATAAGAGAAAGAGAAGAAGAAGATAAGTGATGTTATGAACATATATACACATTTATATATAATTATATATATTTATACACATTTATACACAATTATACAATAATGTATAAGTGTGTATAAATAGTGGTTATACAATATTTATACCAGAACACATCTAATATTCAATATTACACCTCTATTTCAGTATCAAAATATCAAAAGAGAGTTTTTCAGAGGAAGTTAGATCTGAAAATTAAAGAGGAGAGAAGATGGAGATGGAATTGTTTTATAAAAGAAGATAAAACTGGAACATCATCTGAAGAACTTGAAAAATGTCTGAATACAACACAAGACCTCTTTTTCATTCTTCGGTGACTTTACTGACTTCATCGTCGACCTATTTACCTTGAAAATTGAAGGAAAAAAATGGAGGATGTCTGCAACTCTTCAACCTCTTTCCAGCAATTTGAGAAGAATAAAAAATTATTAATGGAGGATAAACGCATTTTGTCTTAAAAAAATTCACATTGCACAAAAAAAAAAGAGGACTGTTGTTATTACAGTATAGAAATAGCGATTTAGTCTCCTTGAGGAGATGTTTATTACAGTAATGGAAAAGGCCTTCCTGTTAGGTTGAATGAGAGAATGACTGCTGCTTCTAAAAGAGGAAGAAGCATTTGGATATAGGTTTTGGTGAAAAGTTGAAGAAAGACAAAAGAAGGATAAAGGAGGCTAGGTTAACCAATGAAAATGGGCTATGCATTATTTGCAAAATGGGCTATGTCGGGTAAAGTTCCAAAATATGGGCTATTTTTTGTTCTGAAATTGGGCCGACTGACATAGAGTGTAATTATGTCTTGTATAAATTGGGTAACCCAGGGATGCAACCTAGCAATCAATGAAGTAGGATGAAAATCATAGGAGACCAGAGTTCAACTCCCAACAGAGGCAAAAAGGCCAGGTAATTTTTTTTTCAATTTTCACAACCCTTGGTGGGGAAAGTTACTCGATACTAGTGTTGGTGGGAGGTAGTAGACTCAGTGGAATAGTCAAGGTGCACGCACGCTAACCAGACACCACCACTTTCAAGAAAAATATAAATTGGTAAACGACTTCAATGGTACATTAACCTGACTGTTGTGACTTCTGCGCACTTGATTTGACATGAACTAAGTGGCTCGAGAGGATGTCGAATGGGGTATCTACCAAGTTACAAGAGAGACAGAGCTTGCTCTTAGTAATCACTACAGTTATGTCTCAATTTAACTTTTAGTTCTTTACTGCTATCATGTGTTATCCACCAAATCCTCCTCACGAACATCTAAAAAATACACTCAGACAGAGAAACTCACCAACTAGGTGAACTTTCATGAGAAATCAAAAGGCAAGAAAGATGAAACAATCCGCAGAATTTCTCATCACATAGACAAGTAAAACCTCAGGTAAGCAGACCCTGTACATGATCATCTTACTAGTGTTCTCATTCACTCAAACCTCTTTTTGGAATTTTCCTCCTGTACTTTACCTCTAAAAGGTTGTTACTCATATATCTAATTTAAGAAAGCCCACTATATGCTCCCACTATAGTAATTCCCATTCTCCTATAGAAAAAGTAAACGAGAACACACGTTTTCAAGTATACTTACCTTTCAACGCTAACTCAGTCTTCCTTATACATTTATTAGATATGACTAGAAATCAATTCTTATTTATATGCAAATTCCACCGTGGGCGTGAAATTACCCTGTCTCTGCATAAGTCATTCCCATCCAAACCCTTCTGGGTATTATGGTAACATCTTCGGTTGCCACTCTAACGCCATCATGAGGCACTAACAACGCTTTTTTTTATAAAACTGAAAAAGATATCTAACGCAGTAAAAAACTGCTAAAGCATCTTCAGTATGTTGTTATGAATTTCTAGTGTAATCAATATGGATAATCCCGAAATGTTTTAGTGTACACGCAAGTTTTCCAGATGCAATAAGCAGATTCAAGACAATATGGTAGAATCATTGTTTTAAAAGCAAAGGTATGACATTTTACCTCTATCTGGCAGGGATATAAACCCTAAGGAAAGACGCGTGACAGCCTAGAGTTTTGAAATTGTATACGTTAGTACACTGAGATACTATTTCAATAAAAAAAATACTAAAAAAGGTTAGAAATGAGATAATGCTCATCATTGCTAAAGAATCTTTGTTATATTTTTCTATTGATAAGCGAGAAATTCCCTTGTGCCCATGTTGTACGGTTCGAAACTCGGTGGATAATAGGTTCGCCCTTCCTCCCTTCTCCATTAACATACCAAGCTTTTGTCTGTAGCAGGGTTCGAACCTGTTAGATGCACCTAATCCACACATCACGTGTTGCGCTCTTACTACTAGACCAAAGTCCTAGGGTAAAAAGAATCTTTGCTAAATTAAATAATTTTTTATATGACATTGTTCTTTTCTCATAGAAATCAATTAAATGGTGAAAAAATTATCATACTTAGAAAGAAAAGCTCCATTTTCACATAAACCTAGGCACTAGTATTGGCATTGCGATTTTTTTTGCACTCCCATTTTTTCACCAAAAGTTAAACTTACAGCAAATGTTTATATAAGATTGTTAGCTAGTTAAGTGTAAAATAGTCATACATAACGTCATATAGTGTTAATCTCTGACGTCATAAATATAGCTATACAGTATACACGTTGTACAATGTGCCTATAAAAAGATATCGTAAGACATAAGAATTCATGTCTTCACTCAATTCTTTCCTATTTCATTTACTTCTCAGAAAGACTTCAAAATAAGTATATCATCTATTTTTGTTATATTTTTAACAAAATTGAGGCCAAAAGGTATCTGACTTGCTTAGGCTTTTGATTTACCTCAAGCAATTTCAGCTCGTCCTTCACTAAGGCAAGCCTTAGCACGAGTCCTTATTTTGAAAAAACAGATATAACAATGGTAACTCCTCTAACTAGTAGCTGGGGAGATTTTAGGATATTGGACGTCATCTTTCAAACCAATGGTACCAATAACCCAAAGCACGTAAATCATGATTCAATGTACTTGTAATTTAAAGCACCATCCTTTTACCTCCAAAGGTGCTTCCAAAGAATAAAGATATGGCCACCAAAGAACAATGAACGTTCCTAACACCGCCAAGCCCAATTTCAAGACCTCAAGAAAAGGATTCTGCCGCCTTAAGCATTTACCAAAGAGATAGCCAAAAAATGCAGGTGCAAAATAGGCACTCATCTGCATAAATCAAGATCTTTAAGTAATATCTGATAATACATCAGAGCTAAGAGCTACACAGCGATAACTTTAAAGAGTAACTCCCAATAATTCTAGTAGATATTCAACCATGATAACAAACCTTTGGCATAAGTTTAAAATCACATCAAGTTACTCAAGCAAGATATCATAACTTCAGCATCAAACTAAAAAAGCACGTAGCTAAATATGATTCCAGGTAATTATTACCATACCATTCAAACCATACTTTTGTCATTACCATACCATTCAAATTCGTACAAGGAGATCTACTAAGTATGAAGATTTTGACGTGTCAACCGGTCAGCTTAAGGACATCAACATGTAGTCAAATCCATCAAACTCATAAATTACCCTACTTCCTCTCTTAAGCAATTCTGTCCTTTTCATCTCTGGAAAATGACTCTACTTCCTCTCTTTAGAAATTTTGTCTGTTCATCTCTCGAGAATGGCCCTACTCCCTCTCTTAGCACCTCTATCCTTTTCATCTCTAAAATTGGCTTCATATTGTTAGAGTCCCACATTGATTGAGGGTGTGAATGTGTTCTAGTTACATAGTATTGGATAATCCTCATCTCATAAGCTACCTTTTGGAATTGAGTTACGTCCAAAATCCATTTTTTCCTAAGACATGGGATACTACCAAATACAAATGAGCATAGCCGTTCAGTCACCACTCAGAAATCAAGCACGGCCAGCACCTCAACATCACAGAGTACAAAGAGATACTAGGTTTTTGACATTAATATAATTGTACGTCTTAGCTTTTCCAGCGGGAAATGAAAAGTAAACGTGAACGCCCACAATTTGGTATTTCCATATCCAACTATACAAGAAAAGATATGCACAAAGCACACATTCAGATTTGCTTTGAGGTAAATATGCACAGACAGGAATAGTACCTGTTTATGGTTAAGAGAAAGGGTGAACAAGATAGAACCAAAAATGTCTCTATCAGATAGGATTGCAGAAACAGCAGCAACAGTAAACCCCAAGCTAATACAATTATACTGCATCAAAGAAATTGAAATCGAAAATCAAATGAACAAAAACTTCAAAATCCAAGTGGCAAATCACAGACCACGAGAGACATGGATTCAAGTACCTGAAAATGACCATGATCAATCAATATGAGACATGGATTCAATAAAATCATGGCAAAGTGCCACATATTACCACTTTTCGGCCCGTCATGAGTACCAGAGTAATAAACAGTAACAAAATAAATAACAGCGGGAAAAAATATTAGGACGTCGGATAATAACACTGTCCACCGCATCAACAATTTTCTGCATAAAAAACGCATCAAATTCTTTTATTATCTCATCTCCCAGTAGATACTCCGAAAAAAATCAGAACTTTGAAGTTAAGTCATACCCAATATAAGATTCGTAGCCGCGGGAAGTGAAGAGTGCAACTGACTGTGGATCAAAAAATCTAAGGAAAAGACCATGAATGTAGCTTTGATACGCTGTAAGAGGAGGGTAATCAAGACCCCAATATTTCAGATCATTGACAGTACTATTTCGGTACCATTCTTTAACAGGGAGATTGAGTGTGATCTCCATCCAATGACGCTGAGCTTCGTAATCTCCGTATTTGGGAGGAGTTCCAGCGCCTGAATAAGGGTGGATTGATACTGCTACTCGGACTAAAATTGCAAAGAGAGTGATGCAAACGAAGGAAGCTGTAGTGCCCCTTGGAGTCAGAAAAGACCAGAGGTTCGATTCGGAATCGTCACTTGTTGGATTCGCTGCTTTTTTCTTCTTCTCCATTTTACTCTGAGAGATTTCCACCGGAGAAAAAACAATTAGGAACTTAAAACTCAATTTGGGCGGAGACGAAGAGCGCAATCGGTTGGCGGAGGGGGGGAAAATTCAATCAACCCGAAAAGGAATTCGGGCTGCTCCTTTCGTGTAAATAAACTACAAGTAGTCCATGTTTAACGGACTTTTATATAAACAATAAAGACCGTAAAGTAAATACAAGTATACAGAAACTGATATATTATTCGAATTTAAACTGATGAATGTAATGAACTGAAATCTCTTCTATTTATAGAAGAAAGGAAGCTGATGTGTAAGCTATTACTATACCATATATAAATAATTTTCTACTGAGCAATATTTATCTATAACGGAGTACTGAAAGGATAAGCTCATTATACCAGGTATAGATAATCTTCTACTGGAGGTAATATTTATCCATAACGAAATACTGAAAGGATAAGCTTATTGTACCCGGTATAGATAATCTTCTACTGAGGATAATGTTTATCCATAACGGAGTACTCAAAGGATAAGCTCATTGTACCTGGTATGGATAATCTTCTATCAGGGTAATATTTATTCATAACGGAGTATCAAAAGTATAAACTTATTATACCCGGTATGGATAATCTTCTATCGGGAGTAATGTTTATCCATACCGGGTACTGAAGTGATAAGCTTCTTTAGGAGGCTTATTTCCAATAAAGTACTAAATAGATAAAGATATTTACGGCGAAGTCTCATATGGATAAGCTTCTTCAGGAAGCTTATTTACAACGGGGTACTAAATGAACATCCATAATATAATATATTCATAACACTCCCCCTTGGATGTTCATTAAAAGATAATGTGCCTCATTAAAATTTTACTAGAAAAAACCCCGTGGGAAAAAATTCAATGAAGGAAAAAGAGTACACATATTTAGATTCGCACTGCTGGCTGCCTCATTAAAAATCTTATAAGGAAAATCCTGTGGAAACAATCTTAGTAAGGGAAAAAGAGTACAGCGCGCATTTTACTCCCCTGAAGAAAACCTTATCTCAAATATTTGAGTCTCCGCATTCCAATCTTGTATATCATATTCTCAAAAGTTGAAGTTGGTAAAGACAATCTCCTGGATTGTCACTTGAACTAATTTGATGCACATCAATGTCATAATTTTCCTGAAGATCATGTGTGTAGAATAATTTTGGTGGAATGTTCTTCGTTCGATCTCCTTTCATAAATCCTCCCTTTAATTGGGCTATGCATGCAATATTGTCTCCGTATAATATTGTAGGTCTTTTATCACATTTCAACCCACATATTTCTCGAATGAATCACTGATCTCAATCATATGCACTCTCTGCTTGCTGGTTTGAGATCGAGCTTTATGGGGATCGGATAAATAACATGCATCTGCATAACCAATACGATCTGCACTACTTTTGTTAGCATTAGCAAGATAAATAAGTGCACCATCTACACCTAGATAGATTATTTCAGGACCAAGGAGTTCCTCATTCTCTTCTAGAGGTTGGAACGGATCCTTATTCACTTCAAGTGATTGAATATCCATTGGTGTACTTAATGGGTACACTTTATCCATGTAAAAGCATTTTTAAAACCCTTTTGGAGCTCTTCTGGAGTTCCAATAAAATTTATGTCATCAACATAAATAATAAGTATAACAAATTTTGATGACATTTTCTTTATAAAAATATATGTACAAATAATATCATTTATCTAACCTTCTTTCAGCAAATTTTCACTGAGGCGATTATACCACATGCGCCAGATTTCTTTAAACAGTACAAAGATCTTTGTAATTTGATCGAGTACATTTTTCGAGACTTTGAATTATATGCTTCAAGCATTTTAAATCCTTCAGGGATCTCCATATAGACTTAATCAAATGAGTCATATAGGTTATTCCTTGCATTTAAATGGCATGGCATCTCCAAGTGCCTAGACTACAGGTCTGATCCTCACAATCTTTTAGAATATTGTGCACTATATTGTATCAAATATATCGTCGTCGATCATTTTGTATCGGTTCCTGAGCAGCATAACTTGTTGAGATCTCATAACTTTCTTTATTTTCAGGTACCTGAACTTCTTCTGGAGTTTCATGAAATGTTATGTCGTGGGCTCTTCTAGAGCTCATTTCCTCCTCATTATGATCATTTTAATTATTTGCTCCTATCATTTTTCAAGGATTGTTACCTTTGGAACAGATCGATTTACTACGCTTCATGCGTGTAGTAAAATTTATCCTTCAGAAACTTTAATTTTAATAGGAGCATTTGAAGCTGAAATATGATATTTAATTTTGGATCAGCAAATGCTTCTGGCATTCGACTTGAATTATCTTCTAAGTGAGGATCATATTAATGATAATTCGATTCATATAGCATATTTTTCAGTTGTTTATTCCATCCCCCAAATGTTAGAAAAACTAACATATATCCCCAATCATCTTTGGGAAATATATCTTTGTGTATTATGGTAGAGAAATTAACCATATACCACGCAACAAAAGATAGTAAAAATATTTGGTTTATGATCCCAAACCAATTATGAAGGGATGACTTATCATATATTGTTGGTTTGATGCATACAAGTGTTGCTATATGAAAATTAGAAAATCTTAGACCAACATATGAAGCTTTGTTCTCATAAGCAATAGTTTAGCCATTAATAGGAGGTATTCAATGCTAAACGAGCTTGGATATAAACCAGCATTATCAAGATGAACTATCTTGATTTCATAATCTGAAAGTTATGCTCTTAATTGAGAAAAGCAATCTCAAATGCTAAACTGCAGGTTGACAATAAATATACATGTAACCATCTTATATATGCATCTATAAGTGGTTCACATGATAGGTGAATGAGCACATATTCACCTTTTATATATTCCAAAATTCAGGGGTCTTAGTCCCAACTTTAGCCGGTATAATATTATGAGAACAAGAAGCACAAGAGAATTGTTGAAGAATCTTTTGGTTCTTCAGTATATGCTTATCAGAATTATCAAATAGCTCATTTAAAAATGGCAAATGAAAACTTCAAGTTTATCATGACATGTGTTATCTCTTAGTAAACTTCTAGTCTACTATGACAAAACTTTTGCATTAGTAAACTTCTGATTCACTATGATACATGATATAGTACAAATTGAAGAATAAAGCGGGTAACTTTTCACATATATATTATTTTACCCCTATGATTGTAGAAACATAAAGACTTTTAATTTTTCAATCATTTGTAGTATCAATATGATAGCCACTTGTATTAGTAAACTTCAGGTTTACTACAACATATGTTTTGACCATAATCATATCATATGAATGACATATTTTTATATAAACTCTTCAAGAGCCTTCATTTATTATCCACAATCTAATATTTATCGGACGCTACTGGTGTCATGTGTCTTCTAGGAAACAGTTAGCTCTTCAAGAGTTGTTGATACATTTTGTACTATCAAATATTGCTCAAACACTTCTGGTATCATGAGAGAAAATCACAATCAAATAAACAATATAAAACAATTGTTTAAGCACAAGAAAACTCCTCTTCATAATATTTTTCTACTTCAGGAGGCAATTTTAATTGTGTTACTTCTTCAGGAGCAAATTTAAAATACGAAATATATATTCTCTCAATTATATTACCTCTTTTGGAGGTGAATTGTAATATATTCACATCAGGAGCGCGTTCATATTTATCAAATTTATTAATATTGTCATATTCACTTCAGGAAATGGATTAATATTATCAAAAGTTCTCATCCTTCAGGAAATCGAATATAATTATTTGAATGCGCATTAATCACATCAAATTGTGATGATTCAACCTCTTTTAAAATATTTACTACTTCAGCAGCAAATCGAGGCGTGCATTTAATATAGAGAATATTTATGTAGCTTATCTTCAATTGTAACCATAGAAAGCCTAAATTATCACTTCTAGTGATCATAGGCATATACCACTTTTGGTGGTTAACAAAATATAATTATAATGAGATATACGAAATATAACCAATTCTGGTGGTTGTATATTTCTTGCAAACTCTGCTAGAGTTTAAGTTGATCTAATAATGTTATCTGCATTCTTCAAAATGACATGAATAAGATATATTATAGTAAACATTATTATCAAAGCATACTTTTTATTTATGTATAACAATTACATAACCATACTATCTATTACAAACAACAAAAATTAAAATATTTACATTTCTACAGATTTACCACTGATTACATGACTTGTTTCTCCTTCTGGGAGTGCAAAGTAATCAGCTACATCCAAATGCATGAAGTCTAAATTATCTTCAGAAATAAAATTTGCTTCAGCATTTTTCTCTGTCTTCTTCAGGGAGGCTTGATAAAGTTCAACCAGGTGCTTTGGTGTACGATAGGTACGTGACTAGTGCTTTTTCCCTCCACATCTATAGCATGCATTTTCTGCATTTGGTGCTTGCACCGCTTCATGCTTTTGTTCATTCTTTTTCCACTGCTGGTGGTGAGGAGGGTTCTTTGGTGCATTATTATTACCATGATTAGAGTTTCTTCCCCGACCACAGCCATGACTATGACTAGGGCCACGACCTCTTCCACATCTAGCTTGGTAGAAGTTCGTCTCATTCACTTCGGGGAATGGACAAGAACCAGTAGGTCGGCTTTTATGGTTTTTCATTAATAACCCATTATGTTGCTCGGCTATAAGAAGATGTGAGATAAGTTCAGAATACTTTTTAAATCTCATCTCTCGATATTGCTGCTGCAAGAGCATATTTGAGGCATTAAAAGTGGTGAAAGTTTTCTCCAACATATCATGATCAGTAACATTATCACCACATAATTTCAATTGGGAAATAATTCTGAATATAGCGGAATTATACTCACTGATAGATTTAAAATTTTATAGCCTTAGATGAGTCCAATCATATCGTGCATGTGGAAGAACGACCATCTTCAGGTGGTCATATCTATCTTTCAAATTATTCCACAGTATGACTGGATCTTTAATAGTGAGATATTCCATTTTCAGGCCCTCATCAAGGTGATGGCGTAGGAATATCATTGCTTTGGTACGGTCTTGGTTTGACGCCTGGTTTTTATCCTTGATGGTGTCTGCCAGACC